TTATCACAACCTTCGGAATGGTTAATGCCTTTGATGAAGGCTAAAACCAATGCCATGCCTTACCGCATTAACAATCAAATTGTTCTTTCGTATACGCTATGGCACATTTGGCTTACTCGTAATGACAATAATTTTAATCATACCCAACACGAGCTATCTATCAAATTTGTCACTAACCAAGCCCTGGAATTTACTTACTTGGCCACCAAACTGAAATCAAAACCAAACACCATTACTACAGCCTATAAAATGGATCCCTCCGAAACCAAATTACTTCAAGCTAAATACTGATGGAGCAGCTTCCTTAGCAACTAACAAAGCAGGTATAGGGGGGCTCATTCGTGATTCAGAAGGAAATTGGATTATTGGATTTACAGGTAACATCAACATCACAACCAGCATTCATGCAGAATTACAAGCCCTCTTTCATGGGTTGGAATTGGCAACCACTCACCGTTTGGTTCCACTGGAAGTAAACGTTGATGCGTCAGAGGTACTAACACTGCTAAAAAACAATAACATGCATTACACTAATCTTATCTCTGACTGCAGGCACCTCCTGGACCAGCTGCATAGTGTCACAATTGCACATATCTACAGAGAGGAAAATGAGGTGGCCGATCGATTAGCTAAAGAAGGTTGCAGCATGGCACCAACTACAAAACCTAGTGTTTTTGACGTGCCACCAGATTTTGTCAGCATCACATTACAACTGGATCGAGCAGGAGCCATACGCTATAGGAAGAAAACATGCATAACCACTGAACAGGCCCCGGATATGGAAACAGACATTTTTGTTGACCACGATGACGGACATGCAATCACAACTACCAATGGCGTTACTATAGTAGAGAACTTCATTGGGTCAACTGATCAGACCTTTTTTGGAAAAAACTTATGTCATCATCCTCAGTGTAATAGCCAACTATGTAGCGCTACTAATACGATGCACACCATGCATCACCCTCTCTGTAGTAACTCTTTTTAGTTTAATGCAATATTATCTTTCGTACCCAAAAAAAAAAAGAATTACGTACGTTTAAATTTTATTTTCATATTTTACTTAAATAAAATGAAAAGATATAATTTTTCCTGTAATGACAAATTTTTAAGATTATTTATTTACTTATATTATTAACTGTTAAGTAAATTTATTCATGTCCTTATTCGTAATTTGATACTTAAAAGCACTTTTTGAAAAACTTGGCCAAACACAAATTATTGCTCAAAAGTGTTTTTCAAAGTGATTAGCCAAACACAAACTGTTTCTCTCCAAAAGTACTTTTTTCAAAAGCACTTCTCAAAATAAGTTTTAGATATAAGGATAAAGAAGGTGATTGGCTATTTGTTAATATTTTATCCCCTTCTATGTACTAGTACTAAATTATTGTTCATTAACTTAGAAAAGATAAAGAAAAAAAAACAAGTTGACCACTAAATACAGGATATTACACTATGTTGAATTCAAAGAGAAAAAAAAAATAAAATGAAAAAAGAGAACTGGTGTTCGGTCTCGAACCCAGGTCTTCTAGTGAGGGAGGACATTATGCAACTTATTAAACCAACGGAGCAGTTCAGCTTTTCTGCTTGAGGGCGCCACATCAAAATTATTTGAGGGGTATACGGTTTTTGCCGAGACTAGCGGGATCGGGTGACCCCTCTCATCTCCATGTAGGTCCGCCTCTGTTTACCCGGAGGCACTTATGCTAGGCCCTCCAACAATTATCCATTGCCAAAAATGAATGAGTGAGACCAAAGCTCAAAGTCAGCATGTGATGATAGTATGGGATACTACTGGACAAAAATGTTGAAAAATATCAAAGAAAGTAGGAGATAAAACTGTCAAAATAGTCAGAGCTCCAAACAAAGTACCTTAGGACAAAGTAGAGAAAGTTGCTCGATATCTGCCACACTGGCTTGAAATCCAAACGGACATAGATGATCAAGTGCTCCCTTCAGACTAGAGTAGGTAACTTGTACCTGCTGAAGTTGCAAGGAAGCAGAATAAACGTTTAAAAAAGAAAACACTTTACTTATACTCTTCAACCACGTTGGGCACCCACACGAATCACTAAAACTTGAACATGGATCAACCGCATTGTCCTTTCTGTTGGCTTCCTTACAAGCGCAGTCACCTGAACCAGGGTTGGTAAAACAATTTATAGACGCTAAAACCTGAACAAATATCTTAGCTTTCTCGTCATCCATGTCATTGGTAGATGATTTTAGTATGCTCAAGACTAGCTCATCTGCATATCCTTCCATCTTGTCATTCTTGACGCTTCTCTTGCGCTTTACCTGTGAAGAACAATTTGCCGGAACACTGCTATTGTGTGTTGCATCCAACCGAAGTTCGGTCTGATTGTCGTCCGCAGAGATGCCGCTCAAGTAAGACAAGTCTTGCATCATGTCAGACCATGCTGCCTCCGCCTGTTTCAGAGTTGAGCCACCAACTAGGATAGTTGAACTTGTAGGTGTCTCGGTTTTCTTGTTCTGTTGTCTGTCTTTCTTTGTATAGGGAACAAGTACCAGAAATTCCCCACTTACAACTGAATGGTCACTTACCTTACTCTCTAAACCCAATTTCACACCCTGATTATAAAGTATACCGCACAAGATCAACATCAAAAAATAATACTAAAATTTTGCTTTCTGCTAGAAACTAAATTTTTGTATTTCAATAATTCTCAGGCAAATAGGAGAGGAATGGAAGAAATTACCTTGAGAAAAAGATGGAAATTTGGGGAATTTGAAGCGGGAGGGAAAGTTTGCTTGAGGAGCTGCTTGAGTTCTTGAATGGTTTTGTCCGGTGAAACGGAGACGATTACGGATTCGCCCATTAGGCTACGCACTTCCAAACTTGTCTCTGATTCTTCCATTTGCTCCGCTCTTGAAATAGACTGATATTGGGCGATGGCCGTTGAGAGGGAGTAGCAAAGACCTAATATTTGGCGGGGGAGTTGATGCTCACGTGCGATCTCCGGCTCATGCACGTGATCTCTTCCTGTCTCGCCGACTTCTGCCACTCGTAATTTTCCTCAATTCTCTTTTTTATCCCTTTCTTTTCACCAAACGAATTAGAAACAAGGGCGATTTGACTTAAAATCAAAAAATATAAAAGGTATTATTACTTTTAGCACGCGCTAAAAATTATTTATATTCGATAGCCGAAAATTATATAAAATTTATATAATTTTTATATATAATGTATATATATATATATATATACAAATATATATATTTTTTCGATAAATATTTTGAGAGTGGCTATATAATATTATTTTTCCATTATAAAGGGATAGGAAAAAAACGAAAGAAATATATAAGACGGTAACCTAAAAAAATAAAATTACTAGTCGTTCCAAGATCATCAAATTTCCCCAAAGAGACAAATTTGATTGTGAAAAAAATTCCAACTACAACTGTGTAAAATTACTTTGTAGAAATGTCTACCTATTCATTGGAAAATTATTTTTCCCCTTTAACTTTGTTTAAAAAATAGAACTTCCCAATTTTCATCTCAATTCAGTTTGTAAATGTCTATTTTACCCTACAAATTATACTAGCACTCTTTCGATTCAGAAATTGTTATGTAATGGTATTCTTACTTTTGAATTTATCTTATTTAGCTCACCTATATGAAAAATTATTTCTGTACTGAAAAGAGTAAATAAGTATTAATCAAAAACTATTAAATTTGAATAATGAAAGAGTTCAGAGAAACAGAATAAAGGTTAGAAATATAAAATTGCATGTATTGATAACTTTACAATGATAATCAAAACTCAAAAATCTATTGACGAAACTTAAATATAAAAGAGATGGAACAACTAAAATACTTGGTACACATAACATTAAAATTACTATATTGAAGAAAACAGTGGATCAGAATTTACGACAAATTTACAAGAAGACTTAAGACTTCTTGGTAACGTAAAGAGCAGAATAGAAACGATAGAAGGGAAAATTTTCTATAGCTTAAAGTTGGTTGAGCATTTAATTTTTCGTGTGAAGCTGGAGGGAAAAACAACCCATTCGAAACCACGTAGTATTAAGTAGGTGTTTGGACATAAAAATTATAATTTTTGAACAAAAGTAGCACTTAAAGTTAAGTTGAAAAATGGTATTTGAATTTGAAATTATGTTTGGACATGCATTTTACTTGAAAAAATATTGCAGTTTTGTGAGTAGGGAATTTTTATTTTTATTTTTTTGAAAATTTTGATTTGAAAAACTCATTTTCGAAAAAAATTCAAAAACTTGTAAATTTTTATGGACAAACACATTTCTAGAAAAAAAAATCAAAAAAAGAGAAAATTTGTTTTATGGACAAATGGGTCCTAAAAAGTGTGATACACTTGCATGGATAAGTCTTAAATGAGAGTGAAAAAATTATTTTAGAAATGTCCGTCGAAACAAGAAATATAAATAAATAAAAAGAAGAGACAATTAATAACCAATTAAAGGTAGGGATTAAATTGTAGAGACTTCCCTATTGTAGGAAGAACTTAACATATACATACAATTTACTAATTACGGACAGGGGCGTATCTGAGTCTTAGGGTATGGGTTTACGCGAAGTCATACTTCTCTCCCTGAACTATGTATAATAATGTTATATTTTTTGAAAATTGTTTAATTATATGTGTGTGAACCCATGCTCAAAGACTCTTATGGTGCAATAATCATTGGGTGCACCTCTACGAGTGAAATTGGTGGTTCAAATCTCACTCCGGATGGTCTTGTTTTCAGTATAGAGTATAGATATATACGTGAAAATCACTAAAAATTTTAAAAGATTATAATTTTGAACCTATAATTTCAAAAATGTAGTAGGTACATGGTAGATACTAAAGTTAAACTCGTCAAATATAAATTCTAAATCTGCATCTTCACAATAGTGCACACATGCTCTTGAAATCCTGGATCCGCCTCTGATTACGGACCAAATTAAAAGAAGATTTTACAAATCTAGCAATGGACATTTTTAAAACAGTAGGAATATAAAGCGCACACACTTTTTTTGAACTTTTGAAATAGCTCGACTCAATACCATCGAGAAGTATAGAGTTCACGAGAATATGGTGATCCAAACACTGTAGCATTAAAAGCAGTATTTTTTTTTTTTCTTTTCTTCTATATTTGGATTTGGATTCTATTATCTCTTTTGGGCTGACAAACAAAGTGTAGGAAAAAAATTAAAAGTGAGTGTGAGACGTTGTGTTCTTGAAAGTTACCATATATATCTCCACGTTTTTACTCCCATTATAGCATGTTAGAGGAAATCATAACCGACTCTATTAATTAATCATTATGGGATGGGATATATACAACTGTAATTCCCACTCTTCATGCTCCCATGTCTTCATTCTCCTTTAATTCTTTTTTCAAATTCAAAAATCCCATAATTCCCTCTCCTTAACATTCTCTCTTTAAGGAAAAAACTTCGAATAACAGCTCCAAGAAAGAATGAGCAGTCCATTCACAATAACCAGGCTTGTAAGGTGGCGAATTAAAGATTGGGTGTCTTGTTTCTATGCTTGCAGGTTCCCCTTAGGTAATTACCTAACTCTAAAGCTTCAATATTTTTTTCTGCTCTTGTTATTTTTTCTTTTACTTTAATTGATATATATATAGTACATTTTTGGTAGAGGAAGAAAAAGATATGTTTTGTGCTATGTCGCCTCAAAAACCGAGTAGAAACATGGTTTTCGACCCTATTGGTGATCATAGCAGAAAGAAGAACAGGAAAAAGTTGAAAAAGAAAACGGAGAAGAGGAAAGAATTTGTTGAAATTTCAGCAGAAGGGAAGGCTGAAGAGGGAGGCAATGACTCAAGCTGGCCTCGTTTCTCAGAAGAGGATTACATAGTATTTTGCTTTGAAGATGATGGAGGAATACATATAGTGGAAGATAAAAAGTCGGAGAAATTTCAACAGAAAGTTGATCATGTTAACTTAAGCCCAAGGCCTGTTTGTAGGAAGGTTGGTGATTAACTCTTCTAATTTACTTTCATTTTATAATAATTTTCTGTGGGTTGAATTTGGAAAAAAGTAGTATCATTATTAACGGTATAGATAATAATACATAATTCGATTGAGACTAGTAATGTCTAAGCATGGTCTAACTTTTTAATATGACTTAAAATTGCGAGAATAAGTATTAATAAGACACTTTTTTTTGAACTCTTGTAAAAGCAGCTTAATTATGTAGAGAATGGACAAGAGTTCCATGATCACCGTCAAAAGAACAAGGTCAGTCCAGATGGAGAAGATAGTTATGGTACAACTGAAGAAGATAATGATGAAAAGGTAAAGTCCTTAAGACAAGTTCCGTTATTTTTTGTATCTTTTTTTACTCCGCTTAATCAACAATATAATGTTCTCACTTATTCTTTACCAAAACCTTCAACCTGTCAGTTGGTAATGAAAATTACTGTAGCACTTAAAAAAATCTCACTTTCTTTCTATTTAGAATAGAAAACTACTGATAAAATCTGTCAATAGTAGCATAATCACACTACTCCGCTGTCACAACTTTAGAAATAACATTATGTTGTTATTGGCAGGGTGAGGGAAAAGGGAGCAACGATATGGAAGAGGAATGGCCACCGGCTGTGGTCGATAAAGAGATCAGTCACATAGGTGATGTTAGTGAAAGCAAGACGACTCCATCTGCGGAATCAAGTGAGTCTAATGATCACTCTAATGGCAGCACTGGTTCCTTTGCCTTCCCTGTGTAAGCATCCCTTTTTTTTTCTTCTTATTTTACTCTTATGTATGTTGTAAAAAAATTTGCATTATAGTTGTTACTTATTAATTTGTTTTAGCAAAATATGGCTAAAATTGCAGTTTGGGCTGGGAATGGATGGGCAGTCCAGCTCAAATGCCGAAACCAGAGGAAGACCCACGTTACGGGAAGCATAAGGCTTGGACATGTGTGCGTCATCCCTGTTGCAGATTTTGATACCTTTTCCTCCCCCTTTTCCCCCCTACGAGATTTTCCTGTTGGATTCTCAAACTGTTAAGAATATACATTGATCAACCTTTTGTCCTTGTTATTACATTTTTCTTATTTCCAGCAACAAAACCGAGTAATGGGAAGGTCGAGAGATTTTTTTTTTTTTTTTTAATAAGTAACGTCCGACAACACTATTCTGAATTCGAGCACATTACTCAAAAAAAGAACATTCCATAGCAACAGAGAGCTTCTGTATATTGGTAATCAATCGTGGACATATTTCTTGTACAATTAATGGAGAAGTTTACTGTGACCATAAATTATTTAAACAGCATCAATTTGCACAGTAATAGAACAAACTAAAGCAGTCAATTTCCCAAGCAGAATCCATGTTTATGTTCTCAGAACAAGTGACTGCAGATATAATCTTGCTTTGGCAGCTGCAGAAAAAGATGCTTCATCTTGATTTTCTTTAGCAGCAGCAATTGCTGCAACATATGCTTCTCTTGCCACCTCCAGTTCCTGCATTCCTGTTTCGTGCGGGTGATCCTGTACAAAACGAATTTCAGATTTACAAATCCGAAATAAACTAGTAGAAGCTGAGAAGATAAATATATCAAGTAAATTCCTTTATAGCTTGACCTAGCAAGAGATTGCGCAAGGGGCGGGGGGGCAAGAGACCCTTGACAAAATAAAACGAAGTTTTAATAGCATTCAAGAAAACAGGTGTGGAAGGTTAGCTTACTGTTTCAATGTTCTTGTCGCATAAGTAAGGGATGACATCATAATCTTCAGCTAAAGACCTGGAACCATTCTTTGTCAATTTTTTAACAAACTGCATGAACCATGCTACTTCTTGCCGAACCACCTCTAGATCGTTCTGGAGTTTCTCCACTTTCTTGCTGGAAGTCATCGCTTCCCATTCCAACTTCTCCACAGCTGCTTGCTTGTCAGCTAACTTAACCTAAGGAGAGCAAAAAGGAAGACATCATGTTGGGGGTTTACCCCTGAAAATCTGCATACAAACTAAGCAGTGATCTAGTAATAGAGGAGCCAGTCTCAAAGTGCAGTAATGTGAAATTTTACAGCCTCAGGAAAATTAACCAGAACGTATTGATTGAAACTTCTGGTTGGCATTTACTTCCTGATACCCAACAGAAAGCAAAGGATATGAAAATATAACTAGTCCTAAGTGATCTCTGTTTCTTAGTCTGTCTAAAACAGCCAAAGTAGAGCCAAATGTTTAAGAGGGTAATTTAGTGACCTTTAAGTTAAGCCATGCAACACACTTCTAGAAAAAATTGCATTTCAATTTGGGGGTTGGGGTTGGAAAGGGCGTAAGCTGACATTATATATTCACCTTTGCAGCAGAGAGTTGCACTTGAGTCGATTTGAGTAAAGAGTCCTTTTCAGCATATTCCTTCTTCATTTCATCTAGTTTAGCACAAATAGAAGCCATTTCATTCTTTGAGATCTCAACTTCCTTCAAAAGTTCATCTTTCTCCAATAATTTCTTTTGCAGATCTTCCACTTGGTCCCTCAAAGCCATCAATTCTTCTCTATCTTTTTCTAAAAAAGATGACCTTGAGGAAATCATTGAGAAGTTCTCAGTGCATCCATCTTGGTTACCGCCAACATTTTTATTTTGGTCCCTATGCTTTTTTGTCGCAGTTGATTGAGCTGCATTCCTTCCTTTTGCTTCAGACGTCTGCAGCAGTCATCAGTGTTAGCATCTCTAATGGACCAAAAGAAAGCAATGCTCGTTCTCATACAATTAGGGTATAAACAAACAAACAAACTTGTTTAGCACGGACAACCTTACAGAGAAGAATATGCAAGCAATCAGAAGTTAATTTCACATACACAACTAATACAAGTATCATATTTGGTCAGCTCTCAGCTAGGACGAAGTTGACTGCTTATTTATAGTAGCAAATTGATGGAAATGGCTTCACCTACTACCTGAGACAAGATATCGAGCGGAAGGAGAGAAATAGTACATTAAAGAAATTGTTATAGAGTAAGATAAACTTCCTTTTAACTCTTTTTTATTTTATTTTTTATGAGTAAAATTGTAGATATTGATGTAGTATGAGTTATAACCTCAAATAAAACATTACTATTAGAGGCTAATACATCATGCCACTTTTCTCTTGCATCAGCATATCCAAGTTTCATGGCAACTGTAGCCACCAAAGTTGGATGCATATAGGATGCTTTCCTTTTAATGCAAACTCTAATTTAGTCTGTGTAGAGGAATCCCCAATTTTGATTCGTGCTGGCCTGTCATGAACCTGAACAATGCCTGCCGTTATTGTTCCATACAAATAGTTATTACTCCTCAAATCAATGTGAAGAATTTTTATATTATATTAATTTTCTAGGCTCTCTCAACCTTCGGATTGCCATTGAAATGGTAACTAACATGTTGAGCCTTGTACTCCAGCCTCTAATTTGCCCATCTTTTAACTATAGCCTAATTGCAGATCCCAAAAGAAGGATGTCCCCTACAATATTATCAGTCAATTGAGCATTCAGTACAAGCTGAAAAACGCGATAAATATAACAAGGAAGACTGAAACATCTATAAAAACAACCCAATTGAAAGACGCAATCACAATAAAAAGTACTCAAGCGAATACCGGAATCGACAAACTGACTTATATCGCATTATTTGTAATCGAGAACCACCCTAATATACTTTATCTAAAAACAAGCACCCTGCATAGTATATAATAATTTACGTTCTTAGTCTTTTGAAGAAACTACTTCCCAGATGGAAGCAGCTTTTCACTACAGTTGCAAGAATATAGAGAAGACGGATTGTAAGGAATCGCATAAGTAATTTGCAATACTGCAATTTGTGGTCACTTGTTTGAACTTTTTCATGTTTTGCTTGATTTGTGACAACTTCTATCTCCCAACGGATTTCTCTATCTCGATATGACGAAGAAGCCTGCAGATTAACTCAAATTGTTTTGATGGAATGCAAATCTTATGACTTCTATGAACTATATTAGTTACTCCTATACGATTACCTGAATAGAGTGTTTGCAATGGCCTGTGAGGCACTCGTGAGAAATTCTATTGCACCTCTTCTATCTAAATTGATTCCCCCATGGCACCGGGAAAAAAAATGTGAATTTATCTCTTAGTATCATTCCTCTATATCAGGGTTATCCTTATTCGTGGTAATTAGACTGAGGTGGCACGAAAGCAGGATGGTGAATTTAGTAGAAAAGGAATATACTTGCAATCATCATGTGCCATTGCACCCCTATCTTGTCTAACCCAATTTATATTCTTGAAAAGTCTCATGCTAAAACTTGACTGACTTTGCCCAACATCAAATTCAACCTGATGTCAACCAAGCCTCTCGTTTATAAATGAGCCCTATCCTACCCAAGAGATCAACTTATGTTAGTTATTGTTTGTCTCCGCCTAGCTGAAACATAAAACTTACTTTCCTTAACTCATTAGAAACCAACAGAAGATTCTCTCCAGTATGGTTTCTGGAGCATGTCCAAACCAGCCGGAAGCACTGATTTCAAAGTAGCAACACTGTAACATTTCTAACATTTCTAGTATCTCACTTTCTCTCATGGAGACACACGAAGAGACAAAGAATGGACCCAAATAAATGATATTTGGTGAAATCCAGAGAGTTTGACTTTCAAAGAGTCTATCACAATTAGAAAGCAGGGCAGAACCATAAAACCAAAGGTGCCATGTGTTCAAAAATATATCTGGATCCATATTGCCATCGAACCAGGAAATAGCTTGGTGAAAGTACTCTTAACAATACTTGAATAGACATTCAATCACTAGTTCAAGGAGACCTAAGTGAAAACTGGGTCTGAGAACCAAGAAAAACTTAAATTTCAGTTGGGTTTAGACAGCTTATTGGACTTAAAGCAAATCGCATCCTACCTTATACTTTGAAGCTACTGAAGAGATGGCAGTAAAGTAAGGCACTTCACAGAACATGTTCAGTATAGAATTTGAAGCATTCGTTGGAAAAATGGACAATGTACTTAATATTCTTTACTTTTCTGATACGACACTATTATCAACTTGAAATCCTGAAAAAAGATATATGCATACAAGAATTGAATTACTACTCCTATTAGCCATAAAAAAAAATTACAGCTCAAGGTAAGTCAAAATTCAGTCCACCAGCACTTTACTTTGCTGTATCTTTAAACCTAATTGCCAAAGTCCTAATCTACCAAAAGCTGCAATTTCTTACCTAAAATGTTGCCAGGAAGGTAAAGCATTAATTAAGTTTCATCAACTCAAGCCTCATAATGTTCTAGGAAATGAAGAAGGAAAATTCGTTCCAATAAAGGAAGAGTTTCCAGGGAACTGGGGTTTATTAAACATTGCTTCTATTTCTATATACAAACACTAAAAAAGAAATTTACACACGGAAGACTATAATTACCAAGCAATTTGAAACTCAGACAGCAGATAATTTTAATACAAATACACGAAAGATCACAGTAGAATCATACCATTTCTAGATTTAAGACTAAAAAAGATGCCCGGTTTTGGGGAGCGAGGGGGGAAGGGGGGTGTAGGGGGGAGGAACTACCTTCTTGTAAAGCGACTCTTTTGAAGGCGTTTTAGTGTAGGTCATTGATCCCCTTCTAGTAAATGAACTCTTCGCCTTTCGATCCTGTAAGAAATCACATGAAAATTTCAAAATTTACATCCCGATAAGAATAACTTGGCGCAAGTAAAAAAAACAATAGGTTCAAGAGAGGGAAAAAGTTACAATGAGGGACTGAACAAGAGGAACGATCTCGACGAGGTCATTGAAGAGCATGCGGTCAACATTTCCAGCAGCCGAATTAGAGAGAGAAGAATCAGTTCGCCGGAGAGTGGGGGAGCGGTCTTCGCCGGAAAGCCAAGACCTGGAGTCAGCTCCGCCACCGAAACCGCCATTGTTGTTGTCCTGCAAATCCAACAACTGCTGGGCCTCATACATTATCGGAGATGAATATCAGTAGACAGATTTGTGATTTTTGAGAATTTTGAAAATTGAAATGCCTTTGATTTTGCTGTGACTTTAAAAAGAAAGTTTTGCTCACTTTTTGCCCTTTTTTAAAATTCCTTGCTCTTTCCAGGCTACATTTTCAATCT